ATACTTCATTTTTATTCCAATCGTTATGTCACTTTTCGTTGTTTGCCTTACCCTCTTTTCTCATGGATTTCTACGACTTTTAATTGTATGATTTTCATTCATTTGTCTTTCACTTCCTGTCTTGATGTGAGTCATGCCAACCTGGATCGTTTACGCACTAACTCCAGATCCTATGTTGACACTAACTGACTGGCTATTGGATACAATAATCTGAATTTTACGCCTAACTTTTCTTTTTGTTTGTCGATATATCTCTATGATCTTAATAATTGTATTGAATATCATAGTATGTTTTTTTATTGAAAGTTATGTTGATATCAAATTAGTTGCATGTAATGTAAAGCCGCTTGCCAGTGTAAAGTATGGGCGTTGACCATGAAACGAACGAAACGAAACTGACTCATCAACCTTGTGCACATTCGAGTCACACTTATTGTGTAAGGGTCAATGATACAACTACCTGGTGTTAGGTGGAGCCGGGTTGGAACCCGTGACCCAATAGTTAGTTAGTAGTCATCTCCCTAAACCACTGAGTCACTTTACGGGTCCCAAGAACTTTTTAAATAGTGTCATAGTATCTCACCTAGAAATTCATTGAGACCTGATTATGCTCTGTATTGTTACTAATATTTATTATTATTATTATTATTTTCGGAATAGCTGTCAATAATCCCCTCTAAAGTGTATTTGGATATCTCAATAAATGAAAAACAAAACAAGGTTGTTTTACCTGACATTTTTTTATTTAGTGTAAACTGGTCTTTACAGTATAGAAACTCATATATGACAACTTGATCTGGGTTTTTTCTGCATGTATGATTCTGCGTTGTCTAATTATTGACACAAAAGACGACCATATTAAGCGTGTATAGTGTGTGGAATACAGGTTGAAGGAGGTTTACATGTACTCATGTGTTTATAGTTCTTATTGTATATGTATTGGTTGTGTCAGTGTATCGAAGTGGTTTGAGGCTATCTTGGTCAAGATATTTATCTCGATTGGTTGATATACATTTCGGTCCAGGAGTAAGTCTTCCACCGTTTTGATATGGTCGTCTTTATTCATAGCTACTGTCAGCTGGAATTATAACAACGTTCTTTTTATTCTTCAGTTTCTTAAGAGCTCTCTGTTCTTCACTGGTTAGTTGAGTACGGTTTCGCTTCCGCCTTACCAGAGGGTCTCAGAGTTTAGTCCTGAAGTCTTCGATGACGACTCTAAGGATGCGAAGGATTTTGGTCTTGAAACGTCTCCCGTATTGAAGTTTAGTTCGCTCTGAAGGAGAAGTCCCTCCGATTCTGTCACAGGTTGTTTGGACAAGTTGACTACACAGGCACTCGCTTCTTCCCCTTCTGATGCTCTCGGTTTTGAAATCTTGACAAACTTCTCTCGAAGGGAGTTTCTTCTCCGTTCTTTTTGTCGAGTGCTTGATTTTTCAATCGCAGTTACCAACGTTGTAAAGTGTTATGTTGTAAGCATCCCTGAGGCGTTCTCTTTTGGCTTTCTATCGTCTGCTGACATTTCCGAATCCTATAATGAGCATCGGTGGTCATCAGTTGTACCACGTGTCTTCCACCCCTTTCCACTAATTTCCATTTCAGTGAACAGTCGATAAATGGTTTGTATCTAACACTAGTTGGCATAACCCCCTAGGCGTTGTCACTTGTGGAAAAAATACAGTTGTTCTCTTGTGAAGGCTTGTTTCTTGGCGAAGGTTTCCCATTTCCGAACAATAAGAAGCGTTGGATTCCCGTAGGATTTTGAGACGATGGGGAATATTTGTAGTTCAGGAGAACGATTTTGATGGTTTTATGTTCTCTGCGCTGGATGGTTTAATCGTGCAGCTTTCGTTATTGTTCCATTTATTAGTGTGCGCTTTCCTCAAAAGGCTGGCGACAACAAATGGAATGTAATGAATTGAAATCTTAATATTTGTTTGATTGTGTTGCTTCTCTGAAAATGGTCATGCTTAACTAGACAATCATAAAAGGATAGTTCATCGTTATTTTTTCCTTTTTCTGAACATTGGGAAATGCAAATACAAAAGTAATGAACATTACTTACCTAGTGCATACATTTTTACAAATAATTAAATCCCAATTTGGTTTGGATATCTGTAAAATTTTGAAATAATTCGTTATGAATTGTCAATGATAACGAATACGTCATATTTAAACTGCGACATGTATGACCACCGAAGAGAATGGTTAGAAAATCTAGAAGATTTACCTCGGAATCAATCGCAAAAGTTCAGATGCATCCATGCATTATCTTCACGCTAATTGTCGTATCGCATCTCGTTATATACTTCAACTCTTCTTCGTTTCTTTTTATAACTTTTCACGGCTTTTGATAGCATTTTTTTTTCTCCGTACCTTGATGTACATATGCGAGGTATGACAAATTATGCTGCTACTCAGAAATACCAGGTCTCGTGTTACTAATGACTGATGGATATTTAAGCCCATAGAATTGTGATGGAACTGCAAAGTATAGTTATTTACGATGTAGATGGTCTGATCCACATGTGTACTTGCACCTGTATAATAAAGCTCGCTCAGTTTTCGTGAATAAGCGTGAATACAGAATAACTTATGTATTCACAATCTTAAGAACTATTTGATTATACATAGAATTTCGTATTCGACATTGAATTACTCTTTTTGTTTATCCCATCTAATCTTCAGCATATTCTAGTTGATTATCAAAGATAATTTATTGCGTCATACTGGATTGTTTGCTAATATTTTCCTGTGGATGAACTTACTTCACTAAATGTATTTAATATAAATAGCTTGACTGTTTATTATATATATAAGCAACAATTTTATTTTATGCATTTTGGTTGGTTTATCAAACGCTTTACACAGTGAAACGGTACTATTTACTGGATTAAGTTTCGGACACAATTTACTATCCGTCAGTGTGTGAAACATTTAATAAACCAACTGAAATGGAGTAACGTTCTACCATAGTATCCAAGTTTACTCACTGTTTTCTTATTGAAATACTGATACTCCATCCTATTGCAGTTATTCTATTCACGAAATAAATCATCGGCTAACTGGAGCAATAAAAATGAGTAATTGTTTGTTAGTATTGGTTTGTTTGTGCTCACTGTATTTTGAAGCTTATCTACACTTTTTTTGTATTCTATAGCTTAATTCTTTATTCTCTTAGCTTTATTTCATAAGTATGCTTCTCAGTATTTTTCTGCAGCTGTGTGTAAAGTTTGAATTACAAAGTTCAGATTTGCGCTACATGAATGCTATGTATATAAATCCAACCAAGTTTTCCACACTTAAATTAATAACTCACTTATTTGCTATTGGATTGGGCTGTTTTTGACTTTGAGCGCTCTGTTTTCATCCAGTGAGTTACAGATGAAGAACCTAGCTGTAGACAACGGCATTTCTGCTAAGATGTTATGTTACTAGGCTATATACAAAAACGCTATTTATAAAGTAGTGTATAAATCTGTTCTCAGATGCTGTGTGGTGTAATTTGTTTGCCGACTTTGAGTATGACATCTGATCACTTTCTTGTGTTACAGCCAAGAGATATCTACTTATTAAAAGTAGGAAATTGTAAAGTATCTCAATAAATAAAATAGATTTTACCGATAATTGTTGGTAGAACTAGAAGAGGAAAAGAAGAACCATCCACATGGACAAAATTAACGTAGGACCACGCGCAAAGTGCAACGATTCAAGTCGCCACACTCCACAGCAGCATGCAAAGAACAGATGGCTAGAAAAAGAATGATACCAAAATAGATAAGTGAAAATAAGGGTAGGTGACAATGTTCAAACTTTGGAAGACGTCAACGAGTGGATACATGTGCACAGTTAGTGGAGATTTGCAGCCATATCATCTAGTCTGAAGTCACTGATCTCTATCATCTTGAGGACCACAAGCAGGCAGTCTACATCTACCTTTCTACGCGACTCAGACCAACAGTCAAATAATTCATGAATTGATGTCATGTCTTAGTACAACCATCCTGAGCCTTCTTCCAACCCAATCGTACTTCAACTAACATCACACATCCAGATGGACAGTCACTCGGTATGAACAACATATGTCCAATTCACTTCAGTTGCTGATCATATAGCTATAAGCCATCACTAGAGGATTGCCGCTCTTTCTGGAGTACGTGTTTACACTCTGATCATGTGTCAGTACGAGCACGTTTACATCTGCACCTTACTGGTCGCAGGAAACAGGCGATAGTAAAGCCTGTGTTTGCTCGATTAAAAGACAAGGGTGCCAAATACGTATGCTGGAAGGAGTTAGCTAAGCTTGAACTCTAGTCGTGCGTTCATATGCATGCACATATAGGTTTGCGTCCTACAGGCAGCAGTGAAACTTGTGTGTGCTTGGCTGAAAGACGATTACGTCAAGTGTTTGTCTATCGTTTTCACCACCATGATATGATAAGTAGGTTGAACTTTGACATGAAAACTTTCCAAATTGATCGTTCGTTATACTGTTTGTTATTTCCTACCTTATTGTGTGTAAAAGTAATATAGCTTTTGTGTACTACATTATGAATCATGTCTAGTTTATGGATAGTGATGGTACTAACCAGCTTTTTGGATAATAGGATTTGGAATGTGATGACTGTTGTTTAGCATTCGGGAGTTTCCTCTTTTGATTAGCAACATTGTAGCAACTTTACACAGAAGTCTATTAAGATATGAGTTGTATCTCGTTATGTTACATGATTATTCTAACTGAATCAGTTTATTGTCACTGTTGTGAATAAAGAATCTAGAGTAGGATAAACTACCTTTGTATTCTTTATGATTTTTTAGTTGCTAAGGTTCAACAAACATTTATCGGGTTCCGTACATTATGCTCTGCATTAATGTAAGCGTTGTTTGTTTTACCTCGTTAGCATTTTTTCTCTCTTTTTCCATAGTTTTCCTTTCCCTTAGCTAATTCTCAATGTTTCATGTTTTGAATCCTACCGTCTGTTTTCTTTTTCTGCACCTGATAGCGTAATTGTTGGGTCCAGGATTTATTTCTTGATTTGCGTAATGGATATCTGTTAGTACGCCTATTAGAATGTTTAACAAATGAAGTATTGGTAAGTTGAATGTCTGATAAATTGATGCATTAATTCTTTGTTTCGCCTACAATTGATTTTATTCCGCACTTTTGTTCTCTGCCTGTTTGTGACATGAAGCACTGCGATTGGTTACATTTCTTGTGATTGAGCTAACTAACATTCAATTTATCAACTGTAAATGATTTTTTTTGAAATATTTCTATCCAGACACATTTAAAGCCAGAAACGAAATTTTGGTCAAATAAATTCACCAATGTCTGTGCAACTCATTGGAATAATCACTATACCTGATTATCACTGACATGATGTAAAACAGAAATGATTATAAGAATACTTGTTAAGAAAGTGACTGAGGCTTAGCAACCTACAGACGGAAAACTTTTCAGGTCAAGCTGTAGTGTAAAAAAAGTTATACGGTTATTAAAATTAGTAGTAAGAACTGTAGACATTTGAAGGTGAATTAAACTATTATGAATGGAACAGTCAGTGATAAAATAAACCGGCTTGGTGGTCATATAGACCTAAGAAATCATGGGTAACACGCGTACCTTCGTTAAATCCCTCTTATGCGATGAAACCACTGAATGAACAGTGTTCAAGTCAGACGTAGGGTACTAGGTAAAGAATGCAAGTCTATTGATGACGTTACAAGCCTTCATGCATGATGAGCCATCACCTATCTCAATCTGTGATGTGAACCGTGATAAGATTGTGTTGGAAGAAGGTTAAGGATGGCTAGAACTAGAGGTGGCACCAACCTATGAAGTTTGTCTGTTGGTATAAGTCCTATAGGGAAATGTAGACTACCTGACTGGGGTCATCAAGGTGACAAAAACTGATGGTTGGGGACTTTTGTTGACATGGCTCGAAGTTGGTCACAATAGTGCAGATGTGTACACTCTTTGTCATTTCCGGAGTTTTAGATGTTTTCATTCACCTTCATTTGTTTTCCTTTTTTTCCCATTTACTTTTGTCTACCTTAATTTTGCTCTCTCTCTCCCCCACCCTCATATTTTGTGCACATGGTGATATGAATTGTGGTAACTGATCCGCTTCATTCATCATTTTAGTTTGGCAACAAATGTGATTATTCTCTAGTGTTAGTGACTTGGATAAGTACTCATTCATGCAAGTAAACACCCGCCTACTCGTACAATCTATGCACTTAACTTCGGAAATACATTCGAATTGATTTCCACAGTTCGAATTGTCGATTATTCATGTCTCTGTTTTCATCGACTGTAGTTAATTTCTCACTTGATGGTATTGTTAAACAGGTTTAACAAAATAAGTTCACTTTTTAGCTTTATCCAGCCTATACTTAACAATTATACCATCCTCAAGCAGTAAATTTTTACATACTGGTTTTTATAGTCGTAGGTGGTCACGTATTTGGTGTCTATCCAGGACCAAGCTTTACCCTTTTCTGTGACATTGAATTCCAAAGCAGTAGTTCATCACTTTACATTCTAAAGTCCTCTCAACAGCAGTATTTGAGCGTATCATCCCCCGTTAACTGATAACTGCTGTTTTAACTTGATGGTCGGATTCATCTATCGCAAAGACCCACTTTTGCTGTAGTCTTGAATTCTGGTTTCCTGAGTTCCTACTATGCAAAGATAGCCGATCAATGAGAGCAGTGGCAGTTAATCTCAAGTTCATATATAAGGTCGTACTGGTGTCTGCATTAGGCAGTAACACCAGTACGGTTTTTCTCGTAGGTCACTGTCGTTACCTTCAAGGCTATCTTCCAGTTTTCGGAGGGCTGTTTTAGGAAACATTATACCTAGTTATTGCACACCTATGACTCATAAACTTCTAGTGCTAATGACAAGGTTTTTAATATACTACTTTAACCCTATAAAATCGGGATTAAATGATACCAAGATAAATATATGTAACTGAACAGAACCGGATGCACATTGCTTTCTGTATTCAGTCTTCGAGACTAAAACGATTAACAATACCAATCTGGTTTCTTATTTTGTAACCCAGTAGGAGGTTATTTTTCACAGTATTTAAAACCTAAAAGGGCTAACAATGCACACACCATTCTCACTCGAGTACCTCCTGATGATCTTCAACCCTTCCTTGTTGTCTAAATTCTATTCATCTGTTCTCCCTACTAACTCTTCAATTATAATTATTCAAATTATAAGTGTATACTTTTTTTCGTCGTATCTCCTTCTTCCTGGTCCGATGGCTTTTTATAAGTACTGGTGTGAATTGCGACAACTTAGAGATGATAATCACTTATCCAAAGTTTTGTATTGTTGTTATTTTCTTTGAAGGAAGATTCTAGTGAATCAATGACCAGACGGATGTTCAGGAGTCGAGCTATTGACAACCAAGCAAGATAGCATTTAAAGATGCGTCCGAATAGAACACATTTTGCGCTACCTACCTAACTATCTCCACTGGAGTAGATGAATCGGTAGACACAAATTGCATTGGTCCAAATTGGTAGTTTTTTCACACGCCCTCAAATCAGTTGCTGACTGGAGAAAAGAATCCAGAACTGGGTGTGCTTTACATAGTCGATTCACGAGTACCTCTGTTATTGTATAACTGACCGATTGCCAAGGTCACTCTGCTTTTTACCAGAATCTTTCTTCAAAATCATTTATAAGGGGAAATCAAACATTTCACGGAGAGTGCAGGCTGGTCACCTGAACAAAATAGAAGCCTTAGCACTTCATTAGTGTCTGTTTGTTAGAGGAAACCTTCATGTATCTGAGGGCTACATGGCCATCTACTATAGTCTTGCGTGTGTCGCTATAATATTAGGTCATCCTGAAAAATGTTCACGAATCGACTAGGCCCTAGTTAGGAGTCACTTCCCACTGTCTGATTGTGTTGTAGTGGCTCAAAAGCATCTTGATACATGCTGATTTCACTTTCTAGTTTATCATGTTCATGCATTATCTGCATTTTGGAAGAATTCGAATTTGACTTCTATGGAAACGTGTTTAGACTTCTACTAAAAATTAAACGTAAAAATGTCATTTAGAAGTCGACTTCGCAACAGAGCAAAGTCGATCAACTTTATGCATTTTTGACGTCACGTTAATCCTGGTGACTGACAAAATGCCAACATGTATGCTAAAAGTTTGATTAGCTTTTACCAGCTTACTTCACTTCTGCTATCCAAACAGTCAGTATTCTAAACAGAAATACATCCTACCCTACTAAGTGGCTGTTGAACATCAAACATGAAAATGAAATTTTAAAAAGATTACCACCATATATACGAAATGAGAAATTCAGATTCAGAGTATTATATGAAGAAAGTAATTCAGTGAGACTGTGAACCTTCATCGACTAGGATACGTGGCATATTTATTACTCCCATACTTAGCCGCTGTCTACCTAAAAGCTTTATGTTAACGTACCAGGTAAACTAGATCATCGTATATGTCTGTTAGATATTGTTGTTGTTCTTGGATAACTAGATGCTAAACGTTTTCACAAACTCCAATGGTAATATTTCGTTTAGGTCAGAATTATATTCTGCAAATGACTAATCAGCCAGCATTTAATTAAATCTTGAGCACTCAATGTCGTATCATAATTTTCAAAACTCAATGATTCTTATCGTTTTTCCTGTGTATTTATCTGGCATGTATAGTCATTTTCTAATAGGTCTGCAAATGATCATATTACATGCTCATATCAAAGTTGATAGACTGAAATTTGAAACCTTACCTGACCAAAATTGTTCCGAAAAAATAAACTGGCGTCGGCTGGCAAAAAAAATAACACACTGATAAGATTACTTGTAAACAAAAACACATATGAAAAATGATCTTAAGTCTAAAAATTGGCATTATTTAGCTCATGAAAACTATTATGTATTATCGTTTTGACTATCTGAGTGAGACAGCCATAGGTTGACAGACTAGTATTGACATTGGGTAATGAATGAAGGTGAAATGAAAATTTAGGCCGCGACGGGTTTCCGGCTCGGTACTCTACTAACTGAGCTACGAAACTCAAGTACCGACCAGATTTTGATTTCACTTCAGTCACCCTGTATCATCGGTATTTTGGTATCAGTGGAAAATCTGTAAAAATACCTGGACCCAGATTTCATGTCTGGTAGTTGACATCAGCTGTTTTGATAAAATTGAAACTCTTTGTGACACTAATCCATGCTGTTCCTCGATAAAGGCAAAAAGATTTTTTCAATCCACTAAAGGTACATACCACTCAGAAACTTTGTGTCGTATCGTACACTAAACAATGAGTCACATCTATTATGTCAGGTCTGTGACACTACCTATCTATCGACACCTTAATAAGCGATTTAGGGTTTTAATCTGTAACCTTACTAGTTGAACGCCAACTATCTATGAACCAACGAACCATAGTCCTACTGGAAGAGTGGTAACTTTAAATTTGACTGTACTTAGTGACTTGATTAACGAACCATTTATGTGGACTAAGAGCAATGAACAATCGTTATCATTTTTTTTAAAACTTTTATTTAAATTCTAGGCATTCTTATGAACTATAATACTAGGATACCTAATCTTACTTGGTGAGATGCATCGGCCCGAATGGGCTGGTTGCTGACGAAATCTCAGCTCGGATACAGAAGCCCCTTTAGCATTTGCCATCTGTGGCGCCTACTAGCGGTAACCGACTACTTATTACAGGAAGGGTACAATGCGCTACAACCGTTCTGTCCTCTTTTACGGCTGTAAGACATGGTCGTTGAAAGTAGAAGACTTGAAGCGATTACAGGCTTTTGATCACAGGTCTCCTCGTAGCATTGCTCGCTTTTGGTGAAATCACCATGTTAGCAATGTACAGGTCAGACAAAACGTACAAGGCAAGAAAGGTAAGTTGATTAGTGAGGTTGTGAACCTAAGTCAATTGAGATGGTTTTGACATGTGTTGCACATGTTGAGCCACTGACTACGTTGATGCGCCATTGCAGAGGAAGTTGGATTAGGTTGGAAGAAGGATCACGGTGACCAGGCCAAGACGTGGGCATCAGTCCATGAAGTCCCTGGCTGTTAGTCTGAGTTATTTGGGGGAATGTAGACTGCCTAGTTGAAGTCGTCGACAGGAAAGGAATCAGTGGTTGGCGATTCTTAGTGACATAGCTGAAAATCGATCACAATGGCGCAGATGTATTCACTTTTTGATGTCTTCTAAAGCTTGAATAACTTGTCCCAACCCTTATCTTCAGGTTGTTTGCTCCCTCATACTACTTTATCGACTTTGATATCACTACATTTCCATCCACTTATTCTTTGTATACTACTGTGAAGTGAGTCAACCTGAACCAATGCACTTGTGTGCGAGGTTCCACGTTGATTTTACTTGTCTGTTTGTCCTAGACTCTTACTTTTTCACATCTTCGATCTAACAGAATGAATACCTTAGTTGCCATTACTTTCTACGAAATGGTGTACTGATTTGATTGCGGGGAACTGTCTGCATCGGTCACAAAAGTTAAACAGTAACACTTGTCAACGTGATATCGTGACCTAACAGAAGTTGAAAATATGGAGCATTAGATTCTGACCCAGTGGCACAGTGGTAACGTGCTGGCCACGGAACCCGAAGGTCGTGGGTTCGATCCCTGGAGGGGTCGTGGGTGCGTACTGCTGAGGAGTCCCATTCTAGGACGGATCAGCTGTCCAGTGGTCCCAGGTTTCCTTTGTTCCTCCAACTGATGTCAGTCTACGATGAATAACGACTTGAAATGGTTTGAATAATTATAAAAGTGGTTATTTCTCAATAGAGAGGAGAAAAAAAGGTGAAAGTTGTTAGTATTTATATCAACAGTCCTTTAAACCATTATTTTTTCTTCATCAATTAACGTGAATACATTGCCATTCAAGTTGATTTTTTCAATCTTCACTGTGAATTCGATTTCAGGGACTTGAATATATTGAAAGTCGTGTTCATTGGATTCAGAATATTCAACGTGTATTGGATTTTCTTCGATATCGTGGGGTAAATATTATTATTAATGGCATTGTTTTAGCGTGTGATGGAGTTTTTTTCAGCAAATTGTCCACTTACCCACTACATTATTATTAAATTTTCCTGTTTAAGTGTATTAATTGTTCTCATGCTCTCAGGTTAATATTGATAAAAGTATTCGCTAGTTATGCGATGATTAGATGCTCTATGTATTTGGAGATCAATGGGGATTTTATTTTAAAGTAGTATTGATCACGCAACGACTGACATCAGTTGGAGAACCGATGAAAACCTAGGAGCACTAGACAACTGTTGCGTCACAGAATAGGACTCCTCAGAAAACTAGAAGAAGTAGGAAACTATGTGCCATTGAATTCCCATCCAGTGGCTGAATAGTTAATGCATCAACCGTGAAACCTGAAGGTCCTGAGTCCGACCCTCGGCGGGGTCGTGGGTGCGTACTACTGACCACTCCCATACTAAAATAAAACAGTTATCCAGTGCTCACAGGTTTTAAATGATTCTCCAGTTGATCTCAATCTGTGAGGAATACTAACTTAATATAATAGTTATTGTCTAAGTGATCTGCAATTTAGTGGTTTAGTTTACCTACGCTTTTGTATACCGCTGCAAACATGATTATGAGAAACGGCTTTCAGATTCTATTTCACATACCGCTTTTCAGTTAAAGTAATGACACCCAGAAAGAAAAATATTTAGTTCATATGTGAATTACGATATTTGAATGTAAAGTGAGCTTTTCATTGTCTTATCACATTACAGAATAAGTGATCAACCACACACATAAGTATTATTAGTTTCATACTACTGCTAGTGATATTACTGCTATGAGTCATGATATTTGGTGTTTTTATTTGTCATTTGTGTAAACTAATCATCCAATCAATTCATTTGCGTTTATGCATAGGTGGTCTTATTGTTTGTATTTTGCTTTCAATACATAATTCATATCGTTCACTTTTTGTGTGCTTGTTTGTTTTATAACTCAATATTTTGATAGTATTCTGTTTGTAAATGATTTAGAAGGTGGAAAGTGTTGGTTATGCATACGCTAGTAGTTTGTAGTCGACTTCAGGTAATATATTTCACTGTATTTGAGAAGTTATCGGCTGTATTCACCTATATCTCAGTAAGTGTTAGTATTCCTACTGAGCCTTAAAATTGGTATTCTTCGCTTTCAGCTCGAAAGTGTTATTTCTTCCGCATTATTGATATGCAGGACTGAATTGCCAGTTTCCATTAGCTCACGCGCTTCATGTACAAATGTTTGTAATCAGGTCTTGGTTACATATATGGTCCAACTTTTTGTGTTGCATTTCACGACCATGGAACCAAATTTTTTTTGTGATTCTTGCTAATCAAACAATGCACCCTCTAAAATACCCACGTATCCATCAAAAACAGGGTAACTAATATGGTTGTAAGTTGCTTACTCTGAAAGTGAGTAGTATGCAGTCGTTTTACCAGTAACCTGTTTGAAGGATCACCTATTTTGCAATAGCTGAACTACAACATGAATAATTAGGTTAGGCGTAAGGTATATGCAAGACCAGAGAGTCAGTTGATTAGGTTGCTCGTCTATACCAGTGATATGGCTTAAATACATGATGTTCACTTCATGTTACAGACTACGTCGATTTATGACCATGGTGCACTAAAAGTGCTGTAGAAGAAACTACAATTTCGCTCAAGTAAGGCATCACACTAGTCCATAACTGCTTCATTTGTGTAAATTTCAGGCTTTCTTCTTGTAGCTGAAGAGACTGTAGATATCCGTGGTTGTAACTGAGGGTACACCACAGCAATTCAGATAGGTTAGCTTTGTTCTATTGTGAACAATGAGAATCTTATTATTCTATAACCAATTATTCTCCATCTTATCATATCCTTTTGTTAGTTGCTTTTTTCTCTTCTCTAGTTGATATTTGACTGTGCCGTTTTCGTAACTTAGCAACAGTATGCATATTCGTACGTTAGGTAATACGACAAGCCTCTTGTGAGGAATGATAACACAACCTGGCTGCTTAAACCTCGGTATGTCGGCCAAGGTTGGATACCATGCCTCATTGGTGAGAGGTCGATCTCCTCGACCAATGAACCACAGCTTCACTCTTGTTGGTTTGCTGCTTTCAATTGTAATATTTCGAACCAACACACCGTTCTTTCAGATTCAATGTTATTCTAGTTTGTTTCATCAACTCTTATTTTTATGTATTCATTGCTTTTTCCAGATCCGTATAGTTAATATTCGAGCTGACGAAATCGTTGATGGTAATCCTAAATTAACACTAGGCCTAATTTGGATCATAATTTTACACTTCCAAGTGAGTTCAGGCTTATAGTTATTAACCATGCACGTGTAAATGTTACCTTTACATTTTTTGCATCACTTTTGCCTTTATGGATTTTTCAAGGCATTCTGTACGTAAACCCGAAAGTGTAATAGTACGCTTCGTCATTTGAATAGTCTGCTTACCCAAATCGGAAGTAGTATCACAAGCGTAGCTCATAATTGTTTACACGAACTCCTATGTGATTATTTCAGTCCAGAACACCAATCCTTTCAGCGCCTTGGTTTTTTTACACCCAACTTTATGTTTCGTTATAATATTATTCATCTAAACTGGTTTATTAGACAAGGAAACGCTTTTAGGGTTGTGGTAGTAACTTTGATGACATCGTATCTCCGTAGCCAAAGTGGTAGGAAAAACGACTAATCTATTGGGCCAAAGCAATGACTGCTTATTGGTTGTCATCAGCCATGTTAACTGACCTTGGATCTAGTAAGCAGGAGAAATTCAACTTTGGAGGTGCGTGAAATAGAATTTAATTGCTATGCTTCTCATATTTGACACCACAAGTGGAGCTTCGCAATGTAAGATTAGGGTATAGTAGTGATAAATTTAATTTTGAAGATGCTGGTGCCGCCACGACATCCGATTATCGATTGAGGGTCGAGTGTACTACTATGCTGCGGTTCGCTCTTTTCAACTATATGACTGTTAAACATTGTCACTAAAGGTAGAGAACATTAGGGGGTTTCTGGTGTTATACCGCCGTCGCCTTCATAGCACAGACCGCGTATCGTGGTGTCACCACGTCAGTAACGCAGTAGTCAGGTGTAGAGTTTTAAGGAGGAGAGACAAGTCAATTGATAAGATTGTGAACCTCCGTGGACTGAGGTAGTGGGTGAGATATGTGTTACCCATACCCAGTCACCGTCTTCAACATCGCACAATATTAGCTGAAGTAGATTTAGGTTGGGAAAAGGTTAGGGTTCGGCAAACTAATATGTGGCACCATAGAGCATAAAGTTATTGGCTGGTGGTGTGAGCCGTGTGAGGGAAATGTAGGCTTTTCAGTTGGAGTTCGTGTGACAATAGAAACCAGTGGTTGTAATTTCTAGGTGATGTGGCTCAGGGTCGATGTCAGTAGTACAGATCTATCCTCAAATCCTCCTAATCCTAATCGTCATAATGGAGGAAAATAGAAGACTTTTATAATGATTTAGAAATTTCGGCAAAATAATAGGTCTAATTACTCGATTGAAGTAAGTTCATCCCTTATCTTCAACTGGATTTGTGCTCGTGATAATGTGATATCCAATCTAATTATTGGTATATACACCTACCTTAGGTTCAGTAAGTTATCAGTTCGATTTTTCTCATTTCTTAACTAATATGAAAGCTGTGTTGAAGTAGTCAAAGCCTATAGTATAACTTGCTGCATTCCTACAAATAGCATTATTTTTGAGTCATTTTATTCAAGGTCTTCAAAGACCGATTGCCACTACATAGGAAGATTTTATATATACATATGGAGTTTCTGTAGCATGATACTGTTTGTCAAAGAAATTCCTCTTACCTTATTGACTATCCTCTTTTGTTATCTATGCAATATGTGCATATTGTAGGATACTATCATGTTACCCTTAATGTTAATGATTGAAAGTATTGTTCATGTGATTTTGCAGCGATTAACATGCATCGAGGATACTTGTACGAGAGCATGTACATACTTCAAGTGTACTAAACACATCACTTTCTTTATTCCATTGGAATAAGCATTTCAGATGCTTTACAGTCATTCTCATATGAATTAATAAACACTCTTACCGCTAATACTACTATTATTATGTCAAAACTGCATATCATACATATTTTTCTTGCTTAATTTTTTTATCGATATAATATACTTTTAAATCATACGTAAATATTCAGCTCTTTGGTGTTAGAAGCAACGGGTACTGGGTTCGAGTCTCAGTGGGAACAACGCCTACTGAGGTGCAGGTACATCCATCTAACGAGTCCCAAATAGGACGAAACTCACATCCTGGATTCCACCTCTAGCCATCAAATAGGCTACAATATCACATATTAATACTTTCAGCACAAACATCAAAATACAGCAGCAGACATAAAAAGTACCCTATCAATTGCTTTTTTCGTACAAATTAACATAAACATAGATAAACTGGAGGTGGGTAGAGTTCATATTTGTTTAGCTAAGATTTCTTCAACAAAACAGGAAACAGCTTCTGTTTGTTTTTAGGATCGTCGATAATGCGTGTTTTCTTGCTCCTCCAGTTGTAACAAAACATTAAGTACAATGTTTGTTACCTCAAGGATTATTAGTCTTGTTTTCCTCCAGGAAGCAATCGGGATTCGTATCTTTATCGACCAGCTTTTACTTTTATTCTCCACAGTTTGTAATGACTATCAGTTTGTCTGATTTAGTGTTATATTACATACTGAATAAATAAAACTAGCGATTTATGCCGTCACATACTTCCAAGTTTTACCAATGTAAACCAAACATACTCACTATGAAGCCAGAGACAAAGGAATGTTTTTGATTGACATTTTGTACAGTAGTCATCAAATATGATCTACCTTGCACTGAAACAGTCATGTGCATAATGTGCTTCATCTCCTTGTCTGGTTCTATCTTGATTTGCTCTTAATACGCCCACATCGTCTCTCGGGTTTCTCTGGGAAGAATCGTTACCCAATGCTGGTAATTCCCTATGATTTCTGCCGCTCTCAACATATACCATTTATATCCATTCTTATCAGCAACACATATTATAAGAGGTATTGCCCTCAGTCTTATCCGGCTCAGTCATCATTTTCTATAACTTTACATTGTATATTTTTCGTGGTATAGTTTTCGTGAATACCTCTAACTTTAATCCTACTATTGAAGCTTAGCGAAAAACACAAAACGTACTGAATACTTCTGATACAAATCTATATTCTCAAATCATTAACACCACTAAAAGCAGAATTTTTTTAATGCACTATTCTGTAATTTGTTGTTACCTGTGACAACCTTCATGCTATTCCTCGAAGATCAATGGACAGACTTTTTACATATCTTAATCAACTACCGTTTCTCATTAGACTTTGAAGAACATTTGTCTGGCACTGTGGTTCTTTAATGTGGGATAGGGGATCTTACTATCTTTATTCATTTTTGGAAAATATCAAAGGGAACAATGTCGGCAACTTGTGGATTTTCAGATATTCAGTCTTCTTAATATGCTGAATTCACAAATAGGAATTGAGTTATGTAAATATACAATTTTGCTATTTGGAGCATTGATCAAGAGGGTCGACTATTTCTCCAACTTTGGTAATCTCAGAAATCTTGCGTATGTGACCAATTTACGAAATATCAACGTGGATAGCTCGTTCAGATTCTGTTAAGCTATACTAACCTCAGCATAATTCAGGTATCTGAACGTATATACAGTATCAAGTTTACTGGTCGATAGTGTACTTTATCCTTCTATATAACCTTCAAACTTAGTTCTGTAAATCTTGTCCGTATTTGATAACCACTACTTTCTTTGCATATTTCACCTACGGTGAACTTACGTTATTCGTTTAGGAGTACTGAATAAAAAGGGAGGTAAATCATGTGACAGTTTTTGACTTCAGTTGATTAAAGTGGTTTGAGCAATATCCATCTGTCAGCCTTCACTATTCACAAGACAAACTCGAGTCGGAGTAAAATGAAATAAGTATAAGTTTGGTAAGACAACATTAATACCTGTAGTGAAATGGTTTCTAGTTATTTCAGAACCCAATAAGCTGTTTAAATATGCTGAAAATTCAAATTAGTTGCAATGGTCTGAAGAATTAAGCTGTACTTCTCAGACTGTAAAAGCACTGAATTTACTAGCACAAATGGTCATGAATGTCCACTGTTGAAGAGCAACAAAGCGACACGATAACTGTCTGTCTCATTAACCCATTAACTAGTTAATTGTCAACATCGCCTTGTAATGGAGAACTTTCCCATTACTGTTCTTTTTCTTTTTCCTCCACTTTCTCCTTTAATCTTACCACCGTAAAGTCTTTCATATAATTTCTCTACTAAACTATCATCTTGCTTTTCCACTCTGTTAGACATTTAATGCATTCTCCACCATTTTATTGGAATGATTGATGTGTTTTGGAAGAGCAAATGAAGGAGTAAGTTCTTTTTTCCTCCCCCCTTCTTAGAAAAGTACTCTTCATTTTGTTTATTCGGACATACATTTAGTGTATATTGTGTTAAGTTTTTAAAAGTTCAGTCTTGTAAGTGATTATCTGGTCAATCCACTTTATCTCACTCCTAACCTCATATGCATTCACTGGTGAAAATTGTCAGTCTTTTGTTCTGTATATATCTTCGAGATGATTATTATTCTTGGGCTTTCCTTTTTTCTTTTGGACGCACTAATGACAAATGGCGTTTTTTTCTCCAATTTTTCTCGGCGGGATTTAGTATATTTCCTTTGAAATGTATCAATGAAATATATTGCAATTCACATTTGCACAAAACTTAGAAATCTATAAATTATTTTTTGTGAAATGCTTTTTTTGATTCAGTCGCCCTACTGCCTTTTGGTGTTTTTTCTGTAATATCTAATTTTAGTCTTCCCTACAATAAGCACTTTTTAACAAAACCAGTATATTAGGCTGTTCATAAATTTTGCCGTCCATAATTGAGCTAACCATTGATTCATACCTTCTTCAAACTCCAATGCGACAACGTTGTTGAAAGTAGCAGTCAGTGACTCTAAAGATAAGTATCGAATTTCTGTCTGTCCGTAGTCTTTCCCCTCTGTCTAATGCTATTCTTCTCCAACTAAAATCGCACTTCAACATAGCTACTGGTTAGTCATGCACAGCTTATGTCCCAGCCATCTCACTCCTATCAGTTGACTCATCTCTTTTCCCTAAAACTATGTGCTTACCATTTAAATTACCCCCACTCAGTAGTCCGCTGACATACACTTATCATTGAAAGAACACTTTCATTTACTATGTACCGT